GCAAGCCCATTATGGGTTCGGCCAGGCCCACAATGGGGAGGCCGGATGGTGAGGGACGGGGCCCAAATATCCGAGCGGACCACCCCGAAAAATTCCCGATCCGTTGGAATTCGAACCCGAGTCCTCAGAGCGTTAAGCTGTCACCTTAACCGCTCGGTCTATTCGTGGTCGAGGGTGTAAGGTTGTGTCAGTTTTATGATTATAATTTGTGCAATTGTTTACTCGATCCCAGAGGGGCAAATAGGTTCCTCTGCGGACTTCCATAAATGATACTAAAAAGATTAATATTAATACAATAATGGTAACATTCATTTTTTGTTTATTTTATTCTTTTACAACAAACTTATGATGAGCACGACAAAGACTTTACACTATAGTTACAAATAATCATTTCCAGAGTTTGAGGAGTTACTTTGTTTTACTGAGAACAGACTTGTGTCGAAAAAGTTCTCTCGACGTCTGTTGAAATTACTGGAACAAATTTTAAATTTGTTATCGTTGAAAAAAGAAATGGAGTGCTCAGGATGAGTTTTCTTGGGAAAACAAGATATCTTTTGAAGTATTCAAAAATTTTCAAAATTCTTTAATTCAAAATACTTCACTGCGTGTTTCTAATTTCTTTAGCACAACTGCAACAATTCCGCAGGTATCTGATAAAAGGGCAAAAACTTCATTGAATCAACCAGCTCTACTCCTGTGGTTTCGAATTTGGAGATTGTAGCAGGCAAAAAAGAAAAGAAAATTTTCATACACAGTACATCAAATCACTTCTAATTGACTGCTAAAATAATTTTTCGGCTAATGTGACACAATCTGTGTCTTCAGTAAGGTTGCGTACGATTGATGGGAGGGAAGCTTCTTTCTCACAATGATCTCCCAGTGAATACAACTGGTTGAGGGAAAAAACTGGGACTCAGAATGCATTTTATATTACAGATGGATATGAGACGGTTAAAAATTTTTTGGTTGTAAAAAATCAGTTTATCTAAACCAGGGAGTGCATTTCTCACATCTTCAGCAAGTCGATGCATTGCATGCGTCAATCATATTTGAATAGAACACTTATTGAAAGCTACGAAAACACAGTATTTACGGCACACCATCAGTTACTAACATTAGCCACTTGTGACTTCTATGATCATTATTCAACGTATTAAGAGAATCATTTACCAATCTTGTTATGTTACCGTGGTTAGTCTTTTTCAACTGTTTTCATGCAATTAAATAGCCATTTACAGGCCCATTACTGGAAAGTCTTCCAACTAAAAAATTTGATACTGTGGGAAGAAGCATGGCACAAGTCTTATCAACTGACGCCCACACTTAGCCATAACCAATGTCCTTTCTAATCTTCTCCAGAATACGTAAGAATACAAGTCTTAAATAAGTTTTCGTAGGGTGGACTCATCCAGAATGATTTTACCAGTACTGTATATATTTTAAAAAATTTTATACGTAGAATGTCTTATCTTGTTCCAGAGTATATCTGCTGCAGGAACTGTTTGACACAAGCAGTAAAGATGTCCAGCATTTTTCCTCGTTAAGAATTTGTATACGCTTGTATGTTATTTTGATGTAAAGCCGTACTTAATTTTAAGCACAACTTTTCATCAAAAGAAAAAAGAAAAAAATTACACACAAATTAATGTCACAAACGTACTTATGATGCTCAATTTAGCATCGTTGATCAGCTATAACCTGTAAAATTAAAATAGCCTCAATGTCCTTTTCTTACTAAATTATAAATTTTCGTCTATAAACAAGCATTCACTATTATCAGGACTTATTATACTGGCTTAACAGACAATACAGAGTTTCACAGAAAACAATTTTTATTTAATATTTGATATACCAATTTTTATTTAATATTTAAATATTAAATAAAAATTGTTTTCTGTAAAACTCTGTATTGTCTGTTAAGCCAGTATAATAAGTCCTGATAATAGTGAATGCTTGTTTATAGATAAAAATTTATAATTTAATAACCTGTAAAAATTTACAAGATTATTTAAGACACTAAAGTGTATTGTTACATGCAATACTTGTCACATTAAAATTCTCATTTAATTACATTTAAATTAAAAATAGGCCATAAAATTGGAACGTCACGCTAACAGATGTAACATGTATTATTAAATTAAAACTTGATTTTTCAGTTTTGATGACTACGTAATTATTTAACCAAAACAAACAGTAAAATCAATACAAGTGTATTTAAATAGGTTTTTGGTACCTTCTCGTTGCAATTTTGAAAACAATTTTTCCATCAGTTCTGTACTTTTCAAATTCATTACATTTCTTCAATAACGATGGCTCTTATTTGGTATTGTTAAAGAAATTTGAAAAACTTCCCGCGTTTGGTGTTCCAAACCTAGTTTTACAGACTGAAAACCTTTATAGTTACGATTTCCTATTTTTCCCAGTATAGTAGCGCCACACATCAATTATGTTTTATTTTCGGTGGAAGAAAAAAAAATGCTTAACATAAATCAATGAATCTACTACAACTTCAGTATGATGAAACAAATGTTAAAGATTTATGCAGTATCTTTAACATTTGTTTACTAAATTATCAATAATACATTTTCACAATCAGCTTGTCTTTCTGCCTAGCAGCGCCATTCAATACCAGAATTTATATCAAATGTGCGCACTGAACTATAATTTTCATTGATATCTAAATACATTTCTTTACATTCTATTATTTTCATGCCAGGCATAGTTTTCGAAGATAGAGGCGAAGTTTAATAAAGTAACGGCAACTCAGATTTAATACCAATTTTTCCAAAGCGCCCAATAAATGGGAAAAATTTTAAATATTTTCGAACCTTACAAATATTTGCTTATCCCATGTATTTATATATTTTTTATAATCTAATACAGTATCAAACAACTACAAGCAAGCTAAACGTTCAGGTATATTTACTAATGGTAATCTATAATTTTAAAAATTTTACATTTCTATATGTAAAAAATTGAATGTAGTTATAATTCAAACACAGCATTTTTAAACTTAATTTAAGAAGTCGAAATAATTTATTTAGAATTTTTGAAGTAAGATAAAAGTTTTTACAATCTAAATAAATTATTATTTACTTCTAAGACGTTATTATTGAGACTGAATTAAAAAAAATCAAATTCTAAAGATTTAAACCAATTAATTTTTATCCCTGAAAAAAATTATTAGTGAAAACTGTTCAATAACATTTTGTTGTTTATTGTTTAAAGAAATAAGTATAATGCTGACAATAATTTAGAAAGGAAATAAGTTATTGATCCTTTAAAACTTATATGGTACTGTAATATAGAAGGTGTAGATAAAGCACTTCACCTGACTATATTTTGCTTCTGCTACAGATCAACTCAAGTGCATGAGAGTACAGATAGGTATGTCCTGATTCCTTCTGAAGTATAGCTACTTCAGAAGGAATCAGGACATACCTATCTGTCTCAGCTCCTATTAAAGAGTGGCACAGTTTAAATTACAAAGTCGTAGAGCTTCTCAAAATTATTACAAAATGTTTTTTTGTATGGTTAAAATATTTAAAAGTGAAAGAACCTGGCTACTATCAAAAATGGATGAAGGAAACCATATGAAGTTCTCTGCATTGAGGCACTGTGGACAATTCTCAGTTTCTGCCACCCATTTTCTTATTTTCCCAGCTGTTATAACAGAGAAAGTATAGCAATCGGTCAAAACATTACCCTCAAAAGATTTTTACATTTTTGGACTCTGGACCTTGAAACATCAAGAAATGCAAAAAACTTTGTTTCATGTGGTAGAATTTTCTTTACTCTCTTTGAAGCTTAATAATTCCGGTGCTTTTCGTTGAAAATTTCTGAAATTTTGCAGGGAGGTTTATGTATTAAAGGGATTGGCTATTAAATTTTGATGGTTAAAGGTTGATAGGGTGGGGAGATACAGGAAAGTAGTAATTCATCTTGAGTGAGATTGGACTTAACGACAATTTTAAATTTTTTATGAAACCCATCCCTACCCTCAAATTTAACCTTTTGTCATTTTATAATAATTAAAAATATAAAAAGTTTTTAATAATAAAATATAACAAATAGTGCTACACATGCAGTTTTAAATGTTGCCGGGAAAGTTAAGCAACTCGTTGCTGGATTTTTTTGATAATGCCCAGGCACTCTTCCCTTTGAGTATTTTAACCAGACAACAAATGCTTTATATTAATTTTGACACACATCATGATTTTGTAATTTATACTATGCTGTTATCTTTCATAGAAATCAAGATAAGATTTGACTCTACGAGAAGAAATTGAGTCTTTGTGGTGACTACACCATCAAATGGTGCCCTATTGATTATCTATACTCTATGCACTTGTATTTAGCTGATATGCAGCAGAAACAAGATATACCTGGTATTTTTTGTTTACATCCTGTGTTAAACTATCAAGTCTTGTTGAATCAGAATAATATTAATTATAAGACTTTTTAATTTAAGAATTTCATAAATTTNCAAGTAAATATAATGATAACATTGTCATTTCCTGTCTAGAAATCAGTTTTTGGTTTTTGCTAAAATTACAGTTTGTCAAAATAAGTTTTGTTGCCATCATTACTTTTTACCTATTTTTGCTTGTCTAAAATATAAACGAGTCTAAGAATTAATGATGCCAATCTTAACAGTCACAGTCAAAACAATAATCAGTAGTCATTACAGTCAGACTGCATGATGAATTTTGCACCAATAATAGACATTTATGACTATACTGCTGAATGATCACATCAGTTCAAATAAGCTTTATTGATAACAAACATTAGCATTGATGCATAAAAACTGCCTTTGGTTCTAAACATCATTTCTTGCTTTCCTAACCAAACTTACCACATGATGTCATGACATTGCTAGGAGTATGATGCACATGACTATCACACAGGAGTTTATAAATTTAATAATTAACAACATGCTTTAAAAATTTTGCATTCACTGTGATGATTCCTAATAATCAAATTGTTACAGACAAACATAATTAAAGATTGCTGTTTTTAATTTTTCCATTCAAATCCCCCCACTACATAAATGTTCCATTTTGGTCATTGTCACAGATTTGGTCATATTACACAACTGGCTGGTATAGTCAGTCAGTTAAATTACAATAGTAATGCTAGATGAATCAAATTAATTATACAGAAGCAAGCATACTTACACCCAACCAACTATTATAATACACCATTTCCTTTATAGTTGAGTCATTCTTCCTCATCCTGTTGTCACTTTTTTTTTTGTTTTTACTATACACACACACATCACACTCTTCTCATAAAAACATTTGTCAACCCTGTACACAATCTTGGATATGACAATTGAAAATAATGGCCACAAGCACTGCTTACAAATGCTTGTATTGCACAAAGTGACAAGTACAGTAGGTAAACTAGGTACAATTCTCTATTAATTTCAGGAAGTTAATGAGAATTATCATTATTGTTAATTAAAGACATCAAACATTGCTAGTCTTTCATTTCTTTTTGAGAAACCAGCTTATTGGTAGTGAATTTGTTTACAAAAGAACAATGTACAGACTAATGTGATGTCCATGTTTAAAACAGAAGATTAAATTCTAACAAGAAAATACAAATTTGTTTTATTTTACAACAGTTTCATGCACATTTTAATTTAATGAAAACAGAATAAAAAAACTGAACCTCCTATGGAATTTACACATAGTAATTTACTGGAAATTCATATATAGTTTAAAATTTATGTAAATTTTAAACTTCATAAATTATACTTTCCAATTTTACTATTTATAAACAAAAAATTTAAAAGAAAAAGATGTGTTTTGACACATGAAAAGAATAAAAGTTCCTCCAAAGAAAAAAAATTAAATAGCTTAAAAGATTGTTAAAAATTCCTATGTCCATAAATTAGTAAATATATAATTATCAGGTGAAATTATTTAACAAATTATTTTTGTTGAAAAATTTTAAATGGAATTTTGATAAATTTTATGGGAGGGTGAAAAAAACATTACTGTATCTGTACAATTAATTATATTTCATATTAAAGCTTGAGAGGTCTTGAAAACAATAACTGTAATAATTCATTTATTCTGCAATCTACAGAAAAAGCATTAATTTTATTCCTTCCATTTTTTTTTACCAATAAGTCTCAGTTTTAGAATATTACTATTGACTGTAGATGGCACTGACATCCATAACAAACATCAAAATCTGCTTGGCAAATAAAAACGAAACGGAGACTGATAACTGTCAGTTTTTTAAGGATGGAAATCACTTGCAACACTTCAGTTCTCCTAATTTCTCACTGCTATTTCAGTCAAGTTCTGCAGCCTTTGTTTTTGTCTTCTTGTTTTTTAAACATTGTTTCTATATAGCTGCACTAATTCTTCTTCAACACACCTTACAAACACACTCATGAACGCACTAAAAACTGGCATATGTATTTGTCAGACACTGTTTCAGAGTGTATTTCAACTGAGGAAAATTCTAATATTCATGCAGATGGTGACTGAGTCCTCAGTAATAGCACCCACAATATATTTCATTGAAGTCTTTCATAAGGAGACTTCCCTATCATGTCCCAGGATTTCCCTTTCAAACTAAAAATCTGAAATTATAATACAACAAATAAATTTTTAGTTTGGCAAAGAAAAAGTATCCAAATTTAGAAGAAAAATAGGTGATATTTCTTTTAACTTTTGAATACTTTTTAACATTGTTTTAAAACAATAATATTTGAATGGAAAGATATATAATTTGTAATTTCAAAACATCTATTTTATTTATAAAAAAGTGGTTATAACTTATACACATAAAATTAGTCACTTAACCAGAAATAAAAAATAAAATAAACTTTAAAGTAAACTTTTTTGAAATAAGTAGCAAAATTAAAAAAATTTATTTATATAGATATACTATATTCCTTTGATTCTAAGATATCTTTTTACTTACTAGTGCTGCAAACTCTGGAAATTCTCAAAATAAGTTAAGTGGTTTTCAACAAAACAAGTTTCAAAACTGCTTTGAATTCAGTAATATGTTTTACTGTTACATTTTATTAACATTAGTAATAAAATATTAATTAGTATTGCACTAAATATTAGTAAAGATTCATATATATGGCTGTATTATTTATTGTTTCTTCCAAAAAGAGGTCAATGTTTCTTCAATGTTGGTAAATACTGAAATCTAAGTATTTAACAAATAGTATTTTAAAACTGTTTAAAATTAATTTATGCTAGTTTTTATGTTAATTTTAAGATTTACACATGAGTAATGAATGGCATTATTTTAAACAAGTTAAAGATGGTATAAATTGATGCCATATATAAATTGTGATGTTACATTGAAATTTTTGTGATAGTACATCAGTTATATGAAATCATCTTAAATCCAAGAATATTTTACTGCTAACTAAGAGTAAAAAAAATGCAAGTAAATATAATGATAACATTGTCATTTCCTGTCTAGAAATCAGTTTTTGGTTTTTGCTAAAATTACAGTTTGTCAAAATAAGTTTTGTTGCCATCATTACTTTTTACCTATTTTTGCTTGTCTAAAATATAAACGAGTCTAAGAATTAATGATGCCAATCTTAACAGTCACAGTCAAAACAATAATCAGTAGTCATTACAGTCAGACTGCATGATGAATTTTGCACCAATAATAGACATTTATGACTATACTGCTGAATGATCACATCAGTTCAAATAAGCTTTATTGATAACAAACATTAGCATTGATGCATAAAAACTGCCTTTGGTTCTAAACATCATTTCTTGCTTTCCTAACCAAACTTACCACATGATGTCATGACATTGCTAGGAGTATGATGCACATGACTATCACACAGGAGTGACATTCTGATGTTTCTCCTGAAGTGTGCTGCTAGTGATTCAATTTCACGCCAAGTGTCAAAATAAGCAGACTAGGATTTTTATTAAATACACTCAAACAAACCTTTACATATGCAGTCATAATTTAGTTCAGTTTTTTTCTTGATAAAGACCATTGAATATGGTCGAAAATGTTAGAATGTATCTATTAAATTACGGCTGCATATGTAAAGGTTTGTTTGAGTGTATTTAGTTAAGAAATGCAGTCTCTGACGAGTTATAATTAGGATTTTTATTGCCAACTTCAAAATTTCACATAATAATTCAAGTAATTCTCAAATTATTATACTAACTTTTATATGTTTAAATAAAGTTTTTGATTTTATTCAATGACTAGCTGTTACCCGCGGCTTTGCCCACGAGGATTTTGCAAGCAAACCCCATTTATATTCACTATTTCAACAACCATAGTAAATTGTTATATAACACCTACCACTGAGAATGATGAGAATTGCCGAGAATCAAACGAACTATTTTCAATTTGATCAATTTTCTGGAACGTTTACAACCGTTCTATAATCAAACCAATATGCAATAACAAATTTGAATTTAAAATGGATTGAACATTTTTAAAATCGAAATATATAAAAATATTTATAACAATGTCTGAAATGTTATCAATTTAATACATCTAAGTACTCAATGAAAATTAAACATAGTTGAAAACGAAAAATCGCATCTAAAATAGTACAATAGAAGCCGTTTTTCTGGTTAAGCCTTAATCCTCTCCATTCGCGGGGAAATTTCAAAAAATTCCTTCTTTGTCTGCATTCCCATGGCATGCCCTACTACAATGGTTCCCAATTAGTGTGTACCCCTGGGGGTACGCGAAACTGCATAAAGGGGTACGCGTGGCAATCTAAAATTTAAATGCATGAGATGAAGCAATAAAAAAATAATGGGTGGACCATCAAAAATTCGACAGTTTACAACATGATGTCGAATGCACAAATTCGTTTATTTATAACTAAAAATATTCTTGAAATTTCATCAAAAAAATGCATTTGTGATAATACCTAAATGAAATTCTTATGCAAGAAACAAAAATTGTACAATTACCACAATTTGTGTTAATTGTATGATTATCATTATTATTATTATGTCAACGAAGCGGTAATAAAATATTTGCTACCATTTTTTTCAACATACCTCTTAGCTTTCATGTTTGTCATTACCGAAAATCCGCTCTCTACGAGAGCGAATTTTTGGCCACGACAAACATGAAAACTAAACATCGTCACCGATTTCAACTCGAAGATGACTTGAGACTGAAGCTGACCAAAAAGCAATCAGATTTCACAAAGTTGTGCAAAGAAAATTGTGCACATTTGTCACATTAAAATTAAATAACCTCATGTTATTTTCATTATTATTAGAATTGTATTTAAAAAATAATAAATGTAAAAAAAAAGTTATTCTATTTATCACTAGCTGTCTACCCATAGCTTCGCCCGCATTATATCAAATTTTCTCGTGGGAGTAAGATATTTTCTCGCAGTAAAATGTAGCCTATGTCCATCTTCAACATGTAAGCTATCTCTGTGCCAAATTTTATTAAAACCTGTTCAGNATAACTTTAACATGAAGACTGAGTGATTTTAAGTCTGGTTAGTCTGACTCTAAGGGCTGTTTCACACTCACACTATGACCAACTGGACTGACTCAACCGATCCTATAATCAGACCGATTAGTAATAGAAGCATTCACATTGAGTATGATTATATGTCGGTGGCCAATTTGTAAGGACCAATCGGAATGGGTGTTAGAAATTGTTTTAAGTTTTTCTAATTTTTAAAAATATTTTTGTAATCTACTTGGTTAAACTTTGCGGAAATTATCTTACTTCGTTTATAAATTCTTTCGAAAAGTCTAAATAATACCATTTTTTCTCATTATGTCGATAATGTTCTTTAATATATATATTAGTCATTTGTTTTCCCATATAAAATTTAAGCAGTTATGAAAAAAATAAGGTACAAGAGAAAATTTAAATAAATTAGAAATATATATAATGTGAAGTTATGTTTGATTGATTCAATAGTTTTCATATATCCAAAGTCTGGTTGGTTGTAGTTTCATAGCTCTCATTGGCTGTAGCTCACCAACTGCTTCGATCCGACTACAAATATTTAACTTTTTAAATCTGTCCGACTGGAACAACCAGTCAGTTGGCTGGCTGCTGTTGCCATGGCAACATGACTTGGAGTCGGACCAGTTGGTCATAGTGTGAAACAGCCCTTAGACGTGAAAAGGTAACAGACAGACAACAGAATTACCTTCAAATTTATAATATTAGGATGGATTAATATGAATTTCTGCTATAACAGGTATGCGAGTTTGAGCTTTTTCTTGAAGTGGTACGCTGGATAAACTAATTGGGAACCACTGCCCTACTAAAACGCAGATAAAAACAAAAAAATCGTATCTAAAATAGTACTGTAGAAGCCGTTTTTCCGGTTAAGTTTTAATCCTCTCCCTCTCCCCCCACGGTGAATTTCAAAAAATCCCTTCTTAATGCACGTTTTCATGATGTACCCTAACTGTGTACCAAATTTCACCTCTTTAGGTTTTCTCTAGGCGATGATGAATCAGTCAGTCAGGACAAGTAATTTTATATATTTAGATTATTGTAAATGATTAACAGCTACTTAGATTAAATAAAACACATCATGGAACTTACCCTAGAATGCTAAGTATCAGGCATAAATGTATTTCGTGCTTTCCAATCTTCTATTTCTTTAATTTGTTGTCTTAAAAACATTATCCTGAAAAAATATTTAAATTTAAATTCAATTTAAAAGGAAAAAACAAAATACATTGTTAAAAAAAAATCTTAAAGCTGGCACGCAATATTAATCAAATTCTGCATGTAGAATGGTAATAAAAAGTTCATTATATCACAACATATGGAGACTTTATTGTAAAACGAATTTCACCACAAATGTTGCATATTGATAAGTTGTAATCCATCTCTGACATTGGTCAGTTTGCATTAATTGCCAGACTCAATGTGCTGATTTTCTGATTTATAATATTTGAACTGCTGTATCTTTGTGGTGTGATGTATTGAATTTTTGTTTTTTTCATTATCATTCATTTGCAGAATTTGATTACTATTGCATGCTGGCTTTAGAATGTGTAAATTTTTTTTACAACAAATTATATGTCCAATAAGCTGTAAAAATCTTCATTATTAATATTTTATTAGATTATATTTTTCATTTGTTTGAGTTTCTCTAAAATTTATTTAATAGTATTTTAGGTAAAAATAAGACTCAAACTACTGGCTGTAAGTTTTATTCTTATTTAAATATGGTGGCAAGTTTTGTTAATTAATTTCTCAAATGGCATTTTAGCATAAAATTTCATATTAATTTTATTGAAGTATCAATAGAGAAATGTGCTAGTATTTAATAAGATAATACATATTTTTAATAATAGTAATATCTTTGGATAAATCAAACAAAAAACTTTACTATATATGAAATAACTGGTTAATTAAATTTTTAAATAATTTAAGAAGGAAGGCACTTTCTTATGCAGATTTAATGTTAAATTGACACTTAAAATGTGTTCAAGAATTTTTAAGTATCATAATCTCTCTTCAAGTGAAAATTTAACACAGAAATTAAACCATCATATGCACTGATATTCGATGAAACTTCATTACTTGTTTTAACTCTTATCCAAAATCCTAAATTAATTCATTGCTGCAAATTATTATAGTTTATTAAAAGTTACTAAAAGTGAATACAACTACAATAGCATTGTTAATTCTTCTTTTAAAATTATTTTTTAATGGCTAACTTTAGGTTATCTTCATTTAAATGAAAATTTGAAAGAAGTGAAAAAATATTTGTTGCAATTGTATATTATTTTATCTAAATTCATCTTANAGAATAATCGATGTACAAACTGATAGTTAAAGAGCATTAAATAATGAAACAATAGTAAGAACAAGAACGATAACAATACGGTTAAAATTTTTCGATAGATACTCCTATATTCAAATTTCTTAAAAATATGAATATTAAGATTATTTTTCAAAATACTAAATCGTAAAGCTGTGTATGAACAGCAACACAATGCCATTAATTCAATATATATTTTTAAATTTATATTTGAATATCAAAAACAAGCAATTGCATAAACTTTAAAATATTCCTATTGTCGTAATAAACAGTAATACGCTCTTATATAAAAGTATTTCTGACGACACAAGTATGTATAAAAATAGTTTTCTGTGTTATATTGTTGCGAAACAGTTCTAACAAATACTATATTTTTTCTCTGGTTGTAATAGAATACAATTTCTGTATTGCAAGTGTGTGTAAAAAATTTCAGATAATTCCCAAAATTTAAACTAAAAATCTAGTGGTTTGCAATGTATAAATCGATAGAAAGGTTTCTGATTGGTGAATAGCGAAATGTCTATTGAATGGCGTTATGAAAGATTCAAACGAATCACGTTACAGAGAACGTGTTTCTTGAAAACTGAAATAATCAATAAAGTTATTGTTCCTGTATGATTTTTATAATAGTTTATTTTAAAATGAAAGTATTCAAAAACGAATTTATAATTTATTCACATATTTGACAGAAATGAAAAATTATTGCAAATGTTACATTCAGTTGAAAGTATTCAAAAACGAATTTATAATTTATTCACATATTTGACAGAAATGAAAAATTATTGCAAATGTTACATTCAGTTGATACTGGTGCCAAGTGCTATGCCAGACTAAAGTCAAGACAGATATCCAAACAAGTGTTACATTAAGCTTCCATGTTATTTATGTGCGTGTCTAATGAACTTTCTAACAACATGACATATGTTCAATATTGCAGCTTTCTATAGTGCCATGTTTTTATTAAGGTTTAATGTTTCTAGACTTTTGTGTATCATATGTGATATGATACCAGTAGAAGAAAGGTACAATAAATATTTTATCCATCCTCTACAGTTCCCACAGTTACCTTACTTCTTCAGTAAGTGGATTATACTTGTTGATTTTTTCAGTTTGAGAATCTTTCATGTTATGAGTGTAAGGAATGGAGATGTTTATTATATGAAAATAAAAATAAAACCAGACTAGGCTCTATGGAAAGTCAAAGCATGCCCTCCACACAGCTGCTAATGAGTCCATTTCTCAGTGGCGTAGCGTAGTGGGGGCAGCCCGCCCCGGGCAGTACTTTTAGGGGGCGGCAAAATTTCACAATAAATAATATATTGTAAAAATTTGAACCATTTCATTTCATATTTTTGTTGCACCTATGATTCAGACTGATTGAAATGAGCATGAAATTTTTCATTACATATTCTGTGACAAAACTGAATTTTAGTCTTTTAAATTGAGATATCTAAATAAGGGGGCGGCGAAATTTTCCTCAGCCCTGAGCAGCTGACACCCATGCTAGGTCACTGCCATTTCTTAAAAATTTAATTGTTGTCCTCCTCCTAAATGCTTTAAATATTTCAAATTGTTCAAGATATTTTAGGTTGACAGGGTCATCACAATGTTGTAGTAATTGGGCCTTGTCAAATTTGATCTGGACATCATTATCACTGACAAAAGCAGCCAATGAGGTAGTGGCTAGACCTTTCTGAATCGTATATATATGCTCCTTGACTCTGTGCAGTAGCTCCAATATACTCACATGGACAGCCCACCCTATGTAAGACACTTTCCGAGAGGAACCCTCTCAGGGAAGTGTCTTTTACAAAAGTTATAGTTTCTTTTCTGATGCATGCCAATGATGAATATTGTTTTAAAATTAAATACTGGTGAATTAATTTAACATATATAATAAATCTAAAGATGAATATATAAAAATATTTCCATATTTTTTTGATTGTTTTGACTGTCGTAGACTGTCGACTTTTTCAGAGTACATTTGTAAAGGACACTTCCCCAAGAGAGTTCCTCTCAAGGAAGTGTCTTTTACAAATGCACTCTGAAAAAGTCGACAGTCTACGTCACCAATCTAATGTTTGACCTACTTTCTCTAACAGTAAAACAAAGTAAGCTACAGTACANTTGAAATCAACATTAGAGTAAAACGTAGTAAGACGTAGTAATTTATAGTAAAATGGTCTTTTCTAATATTCGTAGTACTTTGTAAAGTTTGAATTTCGATTTAATAATTACTACTTAGTTTGGAAACATTAAAAATACATAATTAAGTAGGAGAATAATATAAAACTTTATTTTTTAGTATAATACAATTTACAAAGTCAAAAGCTTGTATATCGTAACATTACAAAAAAATCTAGATTGAAACAAACAAAGTGAACTAATTTAAATAAATACAGTTCATTATACAACTGTTGATACGCTTGCCTTCATTAGTTTCCTCAAACAAATTCGAAAACTTCAGTTAATCTTGTAAATATTTTATGCGCCATTACTATTTGAATGATATAACATTATATAAAGCCTGAATTTTACATAATTTGTAACTGTGATTACAAATATAACTAAAAAATATTTTCGATATAAACACTAGGCCGATATAAACGCTATAAAATTTTTCTCACATTTTCTGATCGAGTAATACATGATACTTTTTGTTATATTAATCTAGCCATATTCTACATATACTTTCTATATTCACATCCATTTAGTTTCATCTAAAATCTACAAACAAATTAATTTCTTAATAAAGAGACTACCTGCTAATTGAAATTTGTATTCTTCTTTCACATTGTTTTACGTAATAGCACTAAATCAATAGAGTTTCTAATGTACAGGCTTATAAACAATAAAAAACATAAATGCTTCAAAATTAGGACTAGATAATTATATGCACAAATAAATTAGTAAGCCAATAATACATACTCTCACTTATATCCAAGTATTATATCCAAAGATCAGTTCTCGCTAATTGTTGAAAATAAATTATTTTTCAACTTTGCTTTCTGTAGCATATTCTGAAACAAGTTCTAAATTCACAGTAAAATTTCCACCTTATATCCATTAAAAACAGCGCATAATGTATCCATCCACGAAATAAAAATTTATCGCAGTGAACTTCAAAAAACTGAGAAACACCAAGGAAACACTAAACCGAACTCTACGAAATCTGGCGCGAACTGATGCATATGGGATAAACTGAAAATACTCCTCACGTGACCAAAGGTTACATTTTTCTGAATAAACGCTAAAAGTTTTGAAAAATTCTTCCATGAAACCTGCTGAATTTAATTATTAAACAGATTTAGTTATTGTGTATTAATTAAATTTAGGTTTCATGGAAGAATTTTTCAAAGCTTTTAGCATTTATTCAGAAAAATGTAACCTTTGGTCACTTGAGGAGTATTTTCAGTTTATCCCATATGCATCAGTTCGCGCCAGATTTCATAGAGTTCGGTTTAGTGTTTCCTTGGTGTTTCTCAGTTTTTTGAAGTTCACTGCAATAAATTTTTATTTCGTGGATGGATACATTATGCACTGTTTTTAATGGATATAAGGTGGAAATTTTACTGTGAATTTAGAACTTGTTTCAGAATATGCTACAGAAAGCAAAGTTGAAAAATAATTTATTTTCAACAATTAGCGAGAACTGATCTTTGGATATAATACTTGGATATAAGTGAGAGTATGTATTATTGGCTTACTAATTTATTTGTGCATATAATTATCTAGTCCTAATTTTGAAGCATTTATGTTTTTTATTGTTTATAAGCCTGTACATTAGAAACTCTATTGATTTAGTGCTATTACGTAAAACAATGTGAAAGAAGAATACAAATTTCAATTAGCAGGTAGTCTCTTTATTAAGAAATTAATTTGTTTGTAGATTTTAGATGAAACTAAATGGATGTGAATATAGAAAGTATATGTAGAATATGGCTAGATTAATATAACAAAAAGTATCATGTATTACTCGATCAGAAAATGTGAGAAAAATTTTATAGCGTTTATATCGGCCTAGTGTTTATATTGAAAATATTTTTTAGTTATATTTGTAATCACAGTTACAAATTATGTAAAATTCAGGCTTTATATAATGTTATATCATTCAAATAGTAATGGCGCATAAAATATTTACAAGATTAACTGAAGTTTTCGAATTTGTTTGAGGAAACTAATGAAGGCAAGCGTATCAACAGTTGTATAATGAACTGTATTTATTTAAATTAGTTCACTTTGTTTGTTTCAATCTAGTTTTTTTTGTAATGTTACGATATACAAGCTTTTGACTTTGTAAATTGTATTACACTAAAAAATAAAGTTTTATATTATTCTCCTACTTAATTATGTATTTTTAATGTTTCCAAACTAAGTAGTATTTATTAAATCGAAATTCAAACTTTACAAAGTACTACGAATATTAGAAAAGACCATTTTACTATAAATTACTACGTCTTACTACGTTTTACTCTAATGTTGATTTCAAAAAAAGTAGGTCAGACAAGGACCGTTAGACTGATGACGTATATTGTCGGCTTTTCTGGGTTGTATCGGAGCTCTCGTGATAGTGTGATTTACAGTAGTCACACCTACTTTTTTCTGACGCAAGCCAATTAGGAATATTAATTTTTTTAACCAATCAGATGATGGCAGGAAGTTTAAATTCAATTTATGTTGCTAGATGGCCATCTAAAATTTCATATTTATTTTAATTTTAATTTTTTACATTTATTGTCTATATGTGTGAAATACTAAAATTAAACGATCAGCGACTTAAAAACAGCTGTAGAGGTGCTAATAACATCAGCGTACTGAGAATCAGACACAAGCTTACCAATGCTGTGGATGCTTGACAAGTAAGTAAGAACCACAGCACGGATTCTGCAATTTCCATTTATCCTGTGCGACTTGATCTGTAGCCATTTTATACATTGACGGGTAACTGTGCTATTATATTCATTGAAACAATATTCAAAAACATAATAATATGTATAGTTATATTTGTGGTTTTTAGTTTCAATTTTTCAATCAACCCCCAATAATGTTATATCAACCACTTTGGCAACCCCTGATATATATTGTGACAAAGATGTGATGCAAAGGCAGAAGTTACTTTTAGGTCATTTAGTTATAAATAAATTAACTAAATAATTTCTCTCAAGTCAGAAAAAATATATATATAAATATTCTACATATGTAAAATCTAAAAATTATGCTTTAAAACATAATATACCTTTTCCATGCTAAATCTTTCTGGACAGATACTAGGTGGCTTAATTTCAATTGATCTTTTCCTATTTATTTCTGTTTTCCTAAATATTTCTAAATCACTCTTATCTTGAAATGATTTTCTAACTAATTCAGGACTATTTGAATTATTGGAAAATTTTCTAGATTCTTGATTTTCAGAATATTCTTCTTGTCTATTTTGCAATATTGGTTTTCTCAATATTTCCACATTTCCTTTCTCTTGATTACTATATTTCCTAGATAAATTAGAACTGTTTCTTTCAGAAGGCGTATGAGGGGAATATGATCTTGAGCGGGAACGTGATCTAGGCTGATGATGATGGTGGTGGTGGTGGTGATGATGTAATGATGATGGTGGTAATGGTGAGTAAGATCTGCTTCTGGAGCGCGAATGATATTCTGGATAATAACGACGTGATCTAGATCTAGATCTAGATCGTGAACGTGAACGGGATCTAGATCTTGAATAAGTTCTAGATCTTGTTCTGGATCTAGATCTATGAAAATGTCTTTCTCGTGAATTGTGCCGTTTATGTTCATAATATTTATCGGGATAATCCTTAGAATAATATGCATCCCGAGAAAGTTCTCTTTTAGAATGTTCACTGTCATAGTCCTTTGAATGACGAGGAGTAAGAGAANGCTGCTCCGCAACGAAAACAAGCTTGAGCAACAGCGATGTCGAATGGTGCACACTCGGTAAGTAATCCTACAATTTTTTGTTTATAGTGTAGTTTATACTAATTATTTCAAAAAAAAATAAAATAATAATAATAATATACGTATTTTGGAAATGTTAAGTCAAATTAGTCTAGAATCGATTAATTTTATGGAAGAAAACCTTTCAAACAGCCGTAGTCTGTAAACTTCACACGTGTCAAATATGTGAGCCAATCACAGCCCAAGGATTCCTACAACGCGAAATTCGTATAACGAGGAATGTATCTTCGTGTTTAGGGGGTCTACTGTATTTAATTTGTAATTAGAATTTTATTTTTTATATTTTCCTTAAAAATGTATTAATTAACATATTAAAAATTAAACAAACCTGTCTTTCTGCATGATCAGCTTGCCATCCAGTCACATGGGAAATATAATTTTCAGAATAATAATTTGCCAGTGAAGGTGGTAATGATGGTACCACAGGCTTTAAAACAGCAGACACTAAGGAACTTGGACCACCACCACTTAGACTATGTAAACTGCTGATACTTGATGTTGGACTACCATGCCTTAAAAAATTTTAATGCTTTTCTTTTATCATAGAACTACAAGTAAAATTAATTAATAAGCTAAATAATTCAAAGCATAATGTTTGATCATCTATCTAAGTAATATTGTAGCAAAATATACACAGTTTAATCTTCACTTTTATGGATTATAGGTTTTATATCCTTTTTTTTGTAAACTGTAATGATTTTTTTAAAAAATAAATTCTTTCTTCAGCAAGTGTTTTAGAATAATTTCTTCAAGATTACAGCAGGAGTAAATATTAAAAAAAAATTTAACAATTTTCATATATATGAGAGCACTATATGTACTTAAATATAAAGATTGTAAATACATAAATTCCTGCCTTATCTCCTTGTTAGTGTATTAGTACTTGAAATTATCTCAGCCAGACAATTTGTCTAAAAAATAATCTTTCAAAATTTCATTGAATATGCTAACTTATAATTAGATCAGCATTTTAATCTAAAAATAACTAAAACAAAGAAAGTAGTTAATTCTGTTTCAAATAGTGTTCTCTCTTCATATTATTTTTGAATTTTACTCAATGATAACAGAACATGTAATGAAGTTAGAAATATTGATGACATTAATTTATGTGACTGGATTCTTCATTAAAATATAAATATATTAAAAATTTTTGCACAAAAATATTTTTAACTGTAACACGATATGGATTATAGAATATCTAAAAACTACAAATGCTCCAAAACAATAAATAAAATTATATTTCATAAAAATAATTAAAAAAAAATATATATTAACATCTAACTTAGTAACTACAACTACAAACATAACCTTGCAAATTATATATTAGATTACATATGTTTATTTCCATCTTTAAAAATGATTTAAATAATATTTTAATTTACAAAATTAACTAAACATTATATTTATTAAAATAATACTTTGCTCACCTAGATGAACGACTACTATAATCTGAAGCTGGAGAAACATGACCTCTTTCAGTATCTATTTTTCCATCTACTGATGGTGGAGGAAGTGCATGTTGTTGGTACTGTGAGTGATAATTGGAATTATGACTTGTTGGTGGAGTGTGACTATGACTATTTTGTATGAGAGAATTATGAGATAGATGACCTGAAACCATAGATGGAGATTGTGATTTCTGTGCTGCATTTTCTGATGGTGTCACTGATGCATGAGGAGAACGACTAACATTGCCTGAAAAGTTTAAATAGAATTTTCATTTTGAATTAATTTCTTTACTAATGCTAAATATTTTATTGCTTTTATGTATTTTAAACATAAATAATTTCTATTTTTTGTGATCTCTCTGTTATCTAATATCAGTACATTAAATTTTTATATTAATTTTTACTCTTTACCTTTAGATAAATATTATGTATCACTTAATAAACAAGAAAACACTTAGACACTTTTCACACCCTTTCCAGAATAGAAATTTAATAAAATACTTGTTTTATTATATTTTTGTGTTGGAAAAGGTGTGAAAGATGTATCTAGTGTTTCTTGTCCTGAAGAAGTTCCAGCTTAGATAATTATTGTTATCACTTAAGACTTTATTTCTCCAAAAAAATTAACACTTAAAAATTAAAGCAATTGGCTTTAATTTTTATGCACTAATGATTTTGAGCATCTTAGACGCTCATCCTCTAGCAAAAATGGTTAACAAATACAGTAAAACAAATACACCAACTGTACAAGCATTCTATACATTTAAATGTAATTTAAAAATGAAGTTTCCAAATGTAGAATGTACATTTGCAGTTGGAAATGATAAAATGTGTTACATTTTATTTTTAAACATTTTATAGAACTATATGTTATGAATATCTATCTTTTTTTGTATTAATATTGAACAGTATGTTACTATGAAACACTATGGAAATTGATAAAGTCATTAAAAAAACTTAATAATTTAAAATTTTCTATTATCTGTTATTTACATAACTTCTGCAAAAAGCTGAAAACCATATATAGTGGGTGATCGGTTAACAAACAGTTTGGATAGCGAACATTTTACTGAACAAACATAAAAAGAAGCGATGGAAAATAATCAATACTTATTGATTTTCCCTTGTCTTCAGGAAACAATTTGAAACCTTTTGGAGTGCGGGAGACATCAACATCGATGCTCAACCCGATACCAATCAGATAGTACTTTGAATTTTGAAACTCTCCCATGTAATTCTAGCTTTTTGTTCACCTTTCTGACAAATAATTTCTTAGTCTTTGCAAGACTGTCAGATGGGCACTTGTTAAGTTTTACATCGGGGTTTATTTACAAAAGGTGAAAGTTTAACTGTCCCATCGGATATTCGTTAACGTTTTAATACCAAATTTCATCCAGGTTTTAAATTTTGCATTTAAATAATTTTTTGTGGGCTAGTTGATTTCTGTTCTCTGAATTTTTGTAAATGCTTTTCTGAACTTTTTATTTAAAAAAGAAACTGATAATATTATGGAGCCTAAAAAAAAGTGTCAAGAACTGTAGAAACCAAGTAAGAGATAATAGCCAAGGTAGAAAGTAGCCACAAGATGTCTGATGTTGCTAGGCAGTATGGCTTGAACAGGTCTACAGTAGGCACAATCTTAGCTATGAAAGATTATATCAAGAAGTCTCAAGCTACTAATGGAGTAATGAAAATCACATCTGAGAAATAAAGAGCATTTTAGAGCTTATAATGGAACCTGAAACAGATATGACAGCAGAAGTCCAAGAACTCTCAAATGAAGAATACCAAGAAACTCGGCGAGATGTGTTTTCTTTTGAAAAAGAGGAAGACGAAAGAGGACCAATGTCAACATCTGTCAGTAAAAGTAAACCTTTGTACTAACTGTCAAAACATTAAAACGAAATTTTTAAAAAAATTAAACAATTTGATGTGATTTAAAGTTCTGATTTTGAGTCATTTTAAAATATATTCTTACAATACAATAGAACAATAAGTAACACTTATTACATGAATAAAATTAAAATTAATTCATTATATGCAATTGTGCAAGGTTCAGCACTAAATGCCCAGAAAAATTTTCAGTGTTTTTGGAAAATGGTTTCAATCATTTCTGATTAGGAAAGCAGTTATGCACATAAGAAAGACACAAAAATTTTATAAAAGACAGATTTGTACATCTAGTGGTGTCTTCTAATACTAAAAATGTTTTGATAGAAAAATGAATTCTGCTATATTTGTAATAAAGGTTGCAGCATTACTTCTTGCTGCCTGCAGATGGCTACACTTGGCCAACCATATTCCACAAACAAAGTCAACAAGGCAGCTAAGCAGACAAATTCCTTGACTTTTTGTATTGATAGAAAAATGAATTCTGCTATATTTGTAATAAAGGTTGCAGCATTACTTCTTGCTGCCTGCAGATGGCTACACTTGGCCAACCATATTCCACAAACAAAGTCAACAAGGCAGCTAAGCAGACAAATTCCTTGACTTTTTGTATTGATAGAAAAATGAATTCTGCTATATTTGTAATAAAGGTTGCAGCATTACTTCTTGCTACCTGCAGATGGCTACACTTGGTCAACCATATTCCACAAACAAAGTCAACAAGGCAGCTAAGCAGACAAATTCCTTGACTTTTTGTCACTTTTTGACAAATTCCCTGACTTTCCATGATATTTTCCAAATATGAAAATCCCTGATTTTCCAGTGTGTAGGAATCTTGTATAAAAATTAAATGTCAAACAAAGAATAAAGTAAGAGATAATAAAAATTTTTTTATCAATTTTTCCAATTTATTAATGTTTGGGGAATTTATTAATAAATAATACATAAAATAAAAGTTTTTCCTCCTTAGCAAAGTCATATAGTTAACTGTAGGTTTATATATATGTTATATATAGTTTAAATTAATTGTGGATTAACAATAGGATGAATTATTTTTATTTAATAAAACACCTCCAAATTTAAATAGTTCAGTAATTCTAATAAGATATTTCTCAAATTAACAAATTTTATTTCCATAATTTAGTTTGCAAAGACTTTAAAGATTGAAAAAATTTTAAAAGCTACGATTGCTATGCTTTATGATTAACCTTTAGTTCCCAGTAATTTTTGATATTAATATAATTAAACATAAAAATACTTAAAATTGATAAAAAACGAAAGAAATGTGTTAATTTTGAAGAAAAAGCTTCAAATTTTATTTTCCTTTGTCTTGCCTTTCTGTGAAATATAACGCTGATGAGTCATTGTTTACACAGCTGGATGATCTTGAACACAGCTGGAGTTGGATTTCCGGGACATTCTCATAGAAGTCTCGGGAGGCGATGGGTTTATAGTAGGGTGAATACTAGCTGGCCATATATTTTTAAATATTTTTAAAAAATTACGTTTTTTATTGTGATTTCTGACCCTCGACTTAATTAAACTTATATATAATAAAATCTATTAATTAAAAAAATTAAAAAACTATTGGAGGTCGTTTTTGATATCGGAAAGTAGCTTTAAATAACTTTACCGAAGGAAAATAGGTGCACTACAACTTTAGAACGATGAATGAAATTTGATATCAAACTCCCATTAAAAAACAATTAATTGTTAAACACGCGTCATTAAAGGTAGATTAAAATCGCGATAAAATTTTTTCGTGCGGGAAAAAATTTGGAGACAAAAAACATTTCAAAAGATCCAAAAAAAAATTGGGAAGCCGAAAGAACTGAGTTTTCTGTAACGCTATGTAACCTGCCCGAGTTAACTCAGGCGAAGAACTAAACGGGACTTAATTAATTAATTAATTAAAAACGTGTTTTCATTAGAAAAAAACATTCAAACTTTTTTGCTGCTTTTAATTGAAACTATAATTTAATTTAATATGTGTTTACTTGTTTATCACTTTTCATGTTATATACACAATCTTTTAAATGAGTACCCAGGATTATTCAGGTAACAGTTTTGCCCTGATACTCAAATACAAAAATGGGTTCAGCAATAATGTCTGCCATAGATATGTATAATTTAGAATGGAAACAACATAGGTAAGGAATAGAAAATAATGCTTTACTATGAATTTTTAAGGAAATAGAAGACAATTAAAATTTAGATCTTACTTATAATACAGTACAGAGGATTTCTTACTAGACAGCTGATCCATTTATATTAGTGTAAACTAAACTGACCAACACAATAATGAAATCAATGAAATTAATTAGATTATTATTGTTTTCAATATAAATGTTTTTTTTTCAGATGAAAAAAATTCTGCCGATATTTAAATAGTCATAGTAACAGTACTTCAAATGTACATAATCATTGCTAAACAAAACAAAATTTAATTAAGAGCAAGGTATTTCAAAATTGTTAATGACATTTTATGTGAAATCTGAAAAACAATTTGGATTTAACAAAAAATGATCATTTTCATTTAATAAGCTTTTTATGGTTAACAATCTTATTGTATTTCAAAATGTAAATGTTAAAATTTTAAATATCATTAAATAAAAAACAACATACCTGACTGTGCTAAACTTGTTACTTGCTTTGTTAATTGTAAAGCTTGCTGAATTGTTCTAAGTGCTGAAAATATATTTATTAAAATTTATAATGAATGAATATAGAAAAATGAATTCCTGATATTAGATGATAATTAAATAAGTATATGAAATTTCAATAAATTTAGCATAATTAATTACTATATACATAACTGATTGAAGTAACATAATATATAATAAAACTTCTGATAATCCTTGATTATAAAAATCTTCTATTTGACATTTGATGAATATTTAACTTAAATCTGAGGTTTGGCAATGTGCTATTACTATGATTTAATTCAATTCTTTTATATTTGAATAGTTTGATTATTATTAGATTGACTGATAAACGTCTTCTACTGTAGCATTCTGCAAAGTGTATGGCTAAAACACATGCTCATTCAGTACTCCTGAGTGTCTAAATTATGTGTAAAGTTTCAGTTTGATAAATCAGGGTTCCTACTCATCTTCATGATTTAAAATTATCTGACATTTCCAGATTTTCTCCAGATAAAAATACCAGAATATCTCAATAAAAAACAATGATGTTTAGTCAGTAGTTCTAGGTGGTCATATTTGGCAAAAAGGTGTACTTTGGCATGAAAAAGTGTACTAAAACGATTTTTTCTCAAAAAACTTTTCGGACTTTTTTTGGGCACTAGTTTTTCACTATATTTGACAAATTAGAAGACAAAAATCAATTATATTTTGATTTCTAATCATTGTAGAATAATCAATGAAGACTTACTTAAAAGAGAATCATTCATACATTATAATCAATAGTGCTGTGCTAATAACATATTTGGAATACAGAAAATTTCCTAGTTTATTCGAAATCCTATTAGTCCATAACTGTACTTTTGTCCCAGCCAGGGATATAGATTTACATGTTAAGGAATTCAGTTACTTCAAAATTCAAAGTGAAAATTCTATCTGAACTGTGATACATGTATGAACTTGTTTGTTTAGATCAAAGTGCTTCCATGCTATCAGAGAACAGTAGGCCAAGAATAACTCTGATCTGATCAATATGCTTCTACTTTTACAGTAACACATTTTCAAGGGTCACCTTATCCTTGGACTACCCTTTTTCTCTTATTTCGTAAAATATGGCTGATTTTTGGGATTATAAGATTAAACTATGAGTAGCATATTTGAGATATTTGTAGGGTACTAGGCTACTACATTTACTAAAGTGTAGAATAAGCTAAAAAATTTTCAATGAAAAATAGTCACTAAATATTTAAAATACAGTAGTGTTGATTTTCCGAAAGTCAATCATCCGAAAGAATTCCAGTTGGCAAATTTAAATTTTCGCCAGTGCTGTGGCGCTTCAATCTTTGGCTATGTCTTGGGCTACTCAAATATTTTACGTTTTTGATACTAAATTAACATCTGAAGTATAATTTTTTATTATTTTTATATATATTTATTTTGTTTGTACAAAATAAAAAAATAATTTTTAACAATTCAATAGTCTTCGTTAGGCGAAAATTCAACGCGAAGCGACAGCAACGGAGAAAAATTTCGACATTGGATACGTTAAACTATTTTTTCGTACGTAAATCAGTTATCCGGACAACCCCAGTCCCCAATTGATTCGGAAAATCGACGCTCTACTATACATTCATAAATACAACAGAATTCCTATTATCCAAGGTAATGTACAGTACCTCATAACTAAAAATTCTGATAAAATGGATAGGGGAATGTCAGACAGCAGCTAGCATTGTTTCTAACATTTGCTGCAAGTGGCATAACCTTTGAAGACACCAGCATGTCGGGTGAATAAAGAAAGTTCAGATTCCTGCCATGTTTAGTCAATCAGTAGTGTTGTTGACATGTGGCAGAAAATTTGATAGTTATAATAGTGTTTTGAATGAACAAAAATGAACTTCTGGTTGTCTTAGCTTGCCTGAAAATGAGAATAAGTTGTTTTTTTATTTATTGTTGAAAACAACATTTATTGTTCTTTAACTTGTAGGCTGAAAATCTCTTTAAACTTACTAATACATATGTGGTAACTTATGTTTTGGGTGGGTTATATCGATATATTGCGTGTTGTATCGGACAACAATGTTGCAGTTTGTATGAGACAAAGGTGTTACGAGTTATATCAGAAACAGTTTAAATTTGAATTAAAATGAGAATTATATTCTCAAAGAATGTTTTTGTTTTACGAGACAATATGGGTAAACTACAGCAGAATAAAGGAAAGAAAGAAAAAGAAAGAATCTATGCAACTAAGAGAAACTGTGGGGGAAAATCTCATCTACATAAAGAGAAACAAAGAAAGTAAATATGCCTAAATCAGTTCAAGAAAAGAGAGAAGACCAAGAGACTCACTGCATCATCTGTGGTGAAACCTTTGAAAAAGACTGGATTCAGTGTAGGATTTGTGAAGGTTGGGCTCATGTAAAATTGTGCTGATCTTGAAAAAAACAAATATTTTTATGAATGTGATGTTTGCATTACCAAAAAAATAATCACAAAATGCAAAAACAAATTAAATTTTCAGACTGATAATTTTAAAAATTTCTCATTTATACAACTTTCTTATCATGTATTAACTTAGTTTTACAATCTGTAATTTGTACTTTTAAAAATTTCTCAATAATAACTCTGCCTAATAATAAAAAGTTGTTTGTGAAACCAAAAGTAATTCTCTTCTTGCAGATTTTTCTCATGTCCGATACAACCCTACAAAATTAAACTTGGTAAAAATGTAATGGGTGTAAAAAGTGTAAAAATGATTAATATTTTTATCTTAGAAAAATGAGTTTTAACAGGTGTTTTTATAAGACAATGAAGTTTTGTATGGAATGTAATCTGGACCAAATGAGCTGTAAAATTTTTTTTATAATATAGGAGAAGCTTAGGTGTCCAGTACTACCCGACCTCCCCCTATGGCCATTTCAGACTTAAAAATTATAAATATAATATAAAAGATTTATATGGTATAATTTTTAATCATCTTTTTATATAAAAACAACATTTTTACATCCTCTTTTATATACCTAATTTGCAGATAATTATTAAATAATTATTTTTAAAAATTAATTTGATCAATTTATTATTTTTATTAATTTTAAAATTAATAATTATTATAAATTTAAAAATAATTATATAATTATGTCTTGTTTATAAAATTGTGGTGCTGTAACAACTGGACACCTTACAGCAAGGGTCGCCAAAGTGACCTATATCGATCCTTAGGGTCGATATAACATTACTGGGGGGGTTGATTATTAAGCTTAAGCTAAGGATAAGGGGGGAGCTAAGGATCAAGCTTATCCGTCTCACTGATTGTCAGTTACTAAAATTATTATTAACAAATATACAATAAATGAAAAAAATGCAAAATTAAAAGAAATGTATTAAAATAGTAAGTACAGTAAACTCCCGATTATCTGTGTGCAGATTATCCGTGCATGAATTTAATTTTAAAAAAATAATTATATGTATATGTATTTTTTAAATAGTTGCTTGTTTTCACGATTACGCATCCTCTAAGTATGCAAGTGTTCATATTTAGATGTTTGAAGCGGGTGGTGGGGGTATCTGAAGTCAGCTGGACTGATTTTAGTTAGGCCGCTTCTTTCATGCCAAACGTTTCTTTTCAAAGGAGAAAATGATAGTGAGCACATTTATACACAGTTTCGTTTAGTTGCATGTTATAATATGTATTACAATTTAAGATTTGATATAACTCTCCCACAAATACTTTTAGTGTAAAATTTCGTAAAATAAGATGTTTTTTTAAATTTTCAGATAAGTTCCCTTAAAATTCCTAATAATCGAAAGAAATTTGTACTTACTATAAAACAAAAACTAACGTTAATTGAAAAATTTGAAAAAGGTGAATCTACATGTTTATTTTAGAAATAAATAATTATAGTTTGGATTATCCGTGTTTCTGGATTATTCGTGCCACCTCTCCCCACCATTAGCCTGGATAATCGGGAGTTTACTGTACTTTGTTTTACTTGTAACACAAACTTTTTGGTGGTGGTTGATGTGAGGTTTCGAAAACTTGTAGGGGGTCGACAATCAAAAAAGTTTGCCAAACCTTGCCTTAGTAGTATGAAGAAGTACAGTACATGTCAGGAGTTGCAATTTGGCACAGTATTTGGTGCCCAAATCATGCACACAAAAAACCAGACTTGTAGATACTCAAGAACCAAATCAAAATAAAGTACAAAATGGAAACACTCTACAAACAGTCGCTAGTGTGAGATTTGTGCATGCATTGCTCGCTGGAAAGTTGGAAATGTAAATGCTGCGAAATCAAATTTTGATAAACAAATCTTTGAAAAAAATCTGTTTACCTGTCTCGTGTTATTCCCAACATCTCTCTGGTTGAAACCTGCTCACCTTGACCGGCTGACCTGAGATATCTCATTTCAGCATCGGAACATTTTTGAAACTAGATGGCACTAGTCATTATAATTTTATATAAAAATTATATTTTGGAAGTTAGTTTTAATTTGTTTTCACATTTATTAATATATTTATTTTGTTCATGCAAAATAAAAACTAATTTCAGACAATACAATAGCCACAATTATTTTTTTCAAAAATGGGAAATTTTCGTTAGGCATCAATAAAAATTCAACCCGGGGCGACAAGCAACGTTGAGGAATTTCAACATTGGATAGGTTAATTTCACCAAAAATGTCTTGTGGTCATGGCCAGCAAAGTTCGACCAATCACACTCAAAACCAGCGATACCAAAGAAGATTGGAGAACAAGAATGAGACCTGCCATGAGTGTTGAAGTGATCCTGCTTAGTAGTGAGTCTCTGAGACATAGTTTTGCCCCAAAAATGGCCTTGCCGTTTTACTTGTTTAAAATTAAAAATAATTATAATTAAAAATTATCTGCAAATTTCATATTGAAATTAATAAAAATATTAACTTGTACTTGAATTAGAAATATTAATATTTGCTGGAATATTTAAAAAGGTGATAATTTATTGAAGTTAAAATGATTTTATCATTTTAACTTTAATATGAAATTATTGTAATTCAAAATGCAAATGTTTCACTTATATTATTATTATAATTAACCTATAATTCTTTTTGTTGAAATGTCCCTTTCAATTTTAAACACTTCTTACTTCACTCATTTCTTATGCATTTTAATTTAAAAATTTTTATAATGTAATAATTATTTATGATTTCATGATATATATCAGAATAAATATTGTATCTAATAATTTCTATGCTTCTTATTACCTTTTATTATTATATTTATCAAATGTAAAACAGTAACACTTTTCAGATTTAATTTTAATCTTGCAGAAATATTTTATCAAGTAATAAACCAACTTCTTAAAAAAATGATTGATATATTTTTTTTTATAAATGAAACAAATCTGACATCGTTATTCAACAGGAGAATTAAAAAAGACAAACAGTTACAAAAAATATATTTTGATTATGTAACTATAATAAATATTTTAATTTAATATTTCTTTTTAAAATATAGGCTGACAAATTTACACATTAATAAAAAAAATACATAAAAAATATTGCATTTTTAATTGTTTTGGGCTTATCACTGGAGAACTTTTAGACTGTTTTGCATGTTTTTTGCAGAGATGTAGCCTCTAAAGAAAGGTTATCTTTCATGGAAGACTTATTCCTGGTGATCAGACATGGCAAAAGTGAAGACATTTTAGTCTTTTTACATATTTTTTATTTTGTTTTAATCTATAATTCTAGTCAATAATACCACAAAATATAGAATTTGATACAAATAAATTTATTCAGATTAGTTTAATAGTCAATATAAATATGTTAACTAGTTCATGATGATAACTGATATTATGATTATTAGTAATAACTTTAAAAAAAATTTACACTCACCATCTTGAGGTGATAATTCAGATAGATTTGGTAGACCTTTGGTTCCTGCAAGCTGAGATATTAATCTTGGAAGATTTGCTAGTGTAACTTGTGATGGAGATAATAATTGAGTTTGAGAAATTTGAGGAGTTGTTTGATTAGGTAGATGTGATGAATGAGAAACAGTCACTGGTTGATAAACTTCTGGTAAATTACTTGTTGGAGTATCACCACTCCCTGGTGATATATCCATGTCATGTGTTTGGGAAGCTAAAATCATTTTGAACAAAATATATTAATATATATAATCTATATAAACCTTTTTTCAGAAGTTTTACACATTCTACATTTTATAATTATGGATTGTTTTAAATAAGTTTATACATAAATATTTTATGCAACTTAATACAAATACACTGGAACCTGATTAACTTGAACTGGGATAACTCAAACTTGCATTTATTTAAAGTCATTTTCTTTCCTTGATCATCCAGAATAGAGATTTACATGTTAAATCAAACTGGTTAACTCGAACAAGGGATTTTGAAACAGTATTTTCATAAGCTTCCCAGAATTTTAATTTAAAAATAGAATAGTTAACATTCATCTAGGAAAAACTAATCAGAAACTTTCTATAAAGCACAGAAGTCATGTATGACTAAAAATAAATGTTGTTTCCTGTGATGATGTGTAGGGAATGATGGCTTCCAAACAGTATACAGCATTTGTGATCTACATACTGTAAATGGCATTCAAACCTATCTTCTTGGATAATCTTTTTGTTTACTGATGGATTTCTCAGACTAGCTAACATAATAAATAAATAAATTTTTGAGAAATTCATTTTAAAAATATAACAATCATAAAGACTGGATTTTTGTGATAAAAAGTAAAAAAGATTTATTCTAGGCAAAAAATATATTGCAATTAGAAAATCCTTACTAAACACTTAGAAAGTAAGACTTAACACTTAGAAGTAAACAGATCAAAAAATTCAGGAAAGATTTTCTTGATATCTTATTTAACCATTTGGTTATGTGTTTGAGTTTCTGGACAACAGAGCATTATACTGATGCAATGATTCTGCATAAGACCCACAGAAATATCATATGGATAGTTTATTACAGATCACCAATAAACCAATAAACAAAATCTTGATTTCTAGCTAAACCTCCATAACTTGAAAATTTTTAACTCTAAGTCTGAAATTTTCCCCAATTGATTCAACTTAACCAGGTTCCATTGTACTATCTAATGCAGTACAATAAAAATATAAAAGTATTTCAAATTTTATTTTTACTTTTTTGAAATTAAGTAATAATCAGTTCTTGTAACTAACTTCATCATAAATCAAATGCTAAAAGCCAAATTTTCTCCCAGTTATTTCACTGGAAAGAAATTTGTTTTATTTTAAAAGGTGAGTTGCTAGACTTTTTGCCCTTGCCTGTTGCAAGGGTTTCTCAGACCTGTGTTTTTATTATAAAATTATTAAAGTTTATCTATCGCATAAAAAAACTACAATATCTCTATTAAATTCTGCACTTTGTTTTCTATCTAATAATATAAATTCCTTGTGTATTGACGAAATTGCATTTTTAATATTTATTTTTATGTAATTTGATGCAAAAAAAAACAAAAAATAAACATATCAAATTTCAACTTGCTGTAAATTATCTCATGTTTCACTGATTGTCATTGGGTTTTGACAGACCATGCAAATCATGAGGCGGATAAAAAAAATCCAATCAATTTGTTGCCATTGCCGATAGTAAGTGTTGCAACAACTTTTTATTGCATTCAAGTTGTTGTATGGTGTCTATTAAAACAAAAAATAATTTTTTTTTTCTTAAATAATATGCAAATATCTCTAAATGATATTTAAAAATTCAATTTGAAAAGAAATATTAATATAATTTCCCATTATTTGAGATTTATGATGACACAAATAAACTGATGTTAAACATTTTATGATTACAGTCGTCTTATTACTCCCAGAGAAACTGCACTTTTACAATTATCAACCCTAAAATTCTTTTATGTCAACGGAGCTTTGTACACACAGACTGGTGCTGTCCCTATGGAAAATCCATTTTCAAGAATGCTCTGTGAAATGGTTCCAAGGATGTTAGAAAGCGGCATCTTACACAAATATGACAAAAACATCATACTTTATTCCAGGTATATAGATGACATGTTATTAATATGGAGAAGACAGCCTAATGTAGAAAGCATCATCAACAAATCAATATGAACCCATATGGATTAAAAATAGAGTTGGAACAAGAAAGTGATACAGCTGCACACTTTCTAGACATTGATCTTCTGCTCAAAGCATGGCAATTACTACAAATATCTATAGGAAACCAATATATAATCTTCTATTCATACCATGAGCATCCCATGACCCAATGAACTACAAGATGGCAGCTTTCAGAGCTATGATAAGAGCCCACATGTACTGTGTAAATATGAAAGACAGAAATAAGAAAAGGGTTATATCAAAACCTTGAGACACTGATTATGATCAAAACCTTGATAAACATAAGAATATAGATTATCTAATCAGGAAGTGTTTGAGAGAGGAGAAGAAAGAGATAACAGCAGACACAAGAACAGAACACACAGTGGTATAATATAACATACCTCTTTAATATATACAAAAATGATAAGTAGAGTTACAGGGAGAAAGATAATCTTCAAAAGAAATCTTACCATATACAGATTCTTTGTAATGACAAAGAGCTGATTGATTCATTCTGTGTTCCAGGAGTATACAAAATCCCCATAATTCACATTAGGAGAGTAAATGATTTATGTTATGTACAGGCTACTTTGAGGTCAGTAGCAGTGAGAAATAAGAAACATAAAAATGAGATCAGTACTGCATTAGCAACATATATTACTGGTTGACCACCAATCAGTTTCTGTTCTATGGAACCATGCTAAAATAGTATGGAGGGTGCAGAGAAGACAATAAATAAAAAACACAGAAGCTTCACACATTTAAAAAGCTATGCTGAAGGAGCAGGAAATTAATTTCAAGAATGTTAACATAATATTGGGAGCATGGAAAGAGTTGCTGCATAGCAGTACTGAATAACAATTTAAATATAATATATACACATATACATTTATTTATTTATAATTGATATGAGCTTTCAAAACCAAAATTTGTTCCATCAAATGTGTTCCATAGTCAAATATCAATACCTTCTATATAAACTGTTAGGCTTTTGTTCTTTTAGAAAGTAATTTCCTGAAGATTGTTTAAGATGATTGAAATCATTTAAATGAAGAAATTTTTACTGCATTAGATGGTTATAGGGTTGATAGAATTACAATCATTAAAGATTTATTTTATCATCATTGTTAAATTCGCTACTAACTAAACACTTATCTAGTGAAAACAAACAATTATTAAATTCAAAAGTTATTTGAAAAACAACCATTAATTAAATTGATAATGCAAATTTACAGTAATAGCTGTAAACATTATGAAGTTAAACATAAAGTAGAAAGTAACCATGTGTAATGAAGTAAAATGTCTAATATGAAACATACTTTATAAATTTAAAAGAGAAACTGAATTAAACTAAAAACCATCAGCAGAAAGTAAATTCTTAATTATATAATAATCTTATTCTGAATAAAATCAAAATATGAACTAATAAACAGCAGATGCATGTAGTGCATATAGTTGAATATAACCAACTCTTTCATAATATACAATCTATCAATGAACAATTGATAAATGAAAAAATTATTATTGTTAAATATGAATCATCATTTCTGTCAAATTTTACTTTTTGATGATAAAAATATTTTAAAAATTTCAAATGATTGAAAATGTCATATTTTCATTAATTTTAATAATGCCCATCTAAGTGCCAAACTTATTTGACTATTAACAAATTTAAATATCTAATATTATTAATCAATTGATGCATCAAATCTAAGAATACAATATCCTATTTGTAGCCCAAAACATGATAAAAAAAACCCCACATCCTTTCATTTATATTTCTGAGCTATAATTTTTTTTTACAAATACTTCTAATGATAATTCAATGTCTTAATCAGTGGCAAATCAGTTGTACAAATCTTATTTAATAATGAATTTCTCAATATCAGTTCAATATTTAAAATTATAAATTTACCTTCACTTCCCCGTCTACTCTCCGTTCTCTTAAATCGATCACATTTTTCTCCCAAAACAGGATGAAGTTCAACTTTTTCTGCGAGGTCTGTACTTCTAACTGACGAAGTAATAACTTTATTTGTAATAGAAGTTGGATGGGCATGTTCATTATGAATTTTAGCTGTTTGTTGTTGTTGCTGCTGCTGCTGCTGCTGCTGATGCTGATAAGCATGAGATGATCGATCTGTACTTGTTGTGGAATGTTTTTCTGATACTAGAAAGAGGAAGAAATTTTTCAATTAAAAAAAAAATAAAAAGATACTATATTGTTTTATTATTCCAATTTAACAGCATTTATTAATTAAATAAAATAATAATGGATGTTTAAATATTCACATACAGTATGTAAACAATCTGTTTTAGTAGGTTGTAATGCTGAAATGTGGGAGAAAAGTGTAGGAATAAGGTAATAGATACTGAATAGTGGACTGTAATTTTAGTATGTCATTATAATGAATATGCTTAATGGAAGGGGACAGCAGCAATAAAAGGATACTCTAATGGAAATTGTGTTATCAAGATTGGTTGCCAATATCAGTGACGATAATTATAAAAAATTAATGTAATTTTTGAAAAACTGTAAGTATCATTTATATCTATGTTATTAATTTTAGGTTGTAGATCATGTTTCATACAACACTGTAAAGAAGGGAGATGGCAGAAATAATGATTTTAATGGTGTTATGTATCAGTTGAAAAGAGTGTAAAAAAGTTTATTTCTCAAACATTTTCAATCCTCTTAAATTCTTAAATCAACCCTCCTCAGGAAATTTATAATTCAAATAATGAACAAAAACCTTTTATATATATATATAAAAGATTTTTGTATAAAATATAAAAGGTTTTTGTATAAAATGTATATATAAAATGTTTTTGTTCATTTTTGAATTAATATATCTATATATATGTTTTTGAATTATAAATTTTCCATGGAAGGTCAATTAAAACTAAAAATGTTCAAGAAATAAAAAATTTTACTGCACCGTAAAGATAATTATACTGTGGTTATTAATAGTGCATCTACCAACAGTAGATTGTAAGTTAAAACTAACAAAGAGAATAATATTGTTTTGTTGGCAAAATGCATACTGGAGTTTTAACTACTGAATAAACATTGGCTAGTATGTATGTTGTTGGTTGGGTTTAATTAATAATGGATTTTGTTTTATATTATAAAAACCACTTCTGTTTTATCTATTTTAAAACTGACTAATATTTTGCTAATAGAGCAGAAACCTGATTATCCAATACAAACTTTAAATTCTGGAATTTATTTAAATTTTAAATAATTAATGAAAAATTATTAAAATATTAGAAAGATTGTTTTTATTTCCACATCAAAAAGAAATTTTTTAAATAGTATTTTACAATTTAAAATTGAACTTTAAACTGAGTATAATCAAATATTTCATATTGATCTAGTTGTTACAATATATGAATACTAAAAAACTAAAATATTCAATAAAATGAATGAAAAAAATACAATTAGTCAATTTGGAACCATACTGTGTTTAATATTAATAAATAAATTTAAAAAAAATTTCTTTACTGTCAATGCATATCAAAACTTGCATATTTATCTGTATAAAAATATAATTATATAAAACCATTATTGATAATGAAATAAACAATGAAATGTCTCTTACATAAAAAACATTAATCAATCAATGTGAAATTAAAAACACTTAATTCATTGATTCATCATTAGTGTTTTTTTCTCATTAATTATTTAAATATAGCAATTTTTATTAATTTTTTAATTGTTAGTAAAAATCTTCCATAAATTAAAACACAGAAACCTGCAAGTCTCCACATTACCAGACAAGCTTTTTGAGGAAAGAAAAAGCAAAATTATGGAATTAAGCAAAACTTTTAGAATAAATTGTTTTCTGAAAACTAAATTTGCAAAGTCTGATTTACTGAAACCAATGCAACTGAGTATTTTAGTTTTTCAATGTCTTCAGTGTAAGATTATGACTCTCCTTACCTCACAAATGATTACTGAAGATAAAAACAAATGCAATACTCACTAGCAAAAAAGAAAAGGTTATCAAAACAATGATACAGAAACATTTAAATATAATGAAGCATTTGAAAAGCATTAGACTTGCTACATTCTAAAACTTAATCCAAAATATTAACAAGATGTTGAAAATTGACATGAATTTAAATGTTTGAATAAACAATGTATTTTAGATGTAAAAAATTTTAAATAATTCTTTATTGTTGCTGTTTAAAATGAAGCTTTTTTTTAGTAATGTTAACATTTTGATATTGGAAAAACTTACATGTATATAATTATAGAAAATAGAGAATGATTGAATTTAATCAAAAATCAAAAATTTATAATAGATTGGTACTAAATCAAATTAAATCACATTACAAATTTTATTTAATTCTTGCAAAAGAAGAAGAAAAAATGTTAACTGATAGAGTAACTACATATATGAAGTTCTGTCTAATATTAATGAATTTTTTGTTTATAATTTACAGTAGAGCATCGATTATCCGAATCAATTGGGGACTGGTGTTGTTCGGAAGATCGATGTTTCGAATAACCGATTATGTACGAAAAAATATATTAATTTATCCCATCTTGACATTTTTCTCCGTTTCGTGTCGCTTCGCGTTGAATTTTCGTCGATGTTAAGCCTAACGAAGACTATTGTATCGTTAAAAATTATTTCTTTATTTTGTACTAACAAAATAAATATATTGAAAAATATAAAAACAATAAAAAATTATACTTCAGAAGTTAATTTAGTATCAAAAACGTAAAATATTTGAGTAGCCGAAGACATAGCCAAAGATTACAGCGCCACAGCACTGGCAAAAATTTAAATTTGTTGACTGGAATTCCTTCGGATAACCGACGTTTCGGATAACCGACCTTCGGATAAACGACGCTCTACTGTA